TAGTCTCAGAGACAGGAATTTTTTAGCTAAGCTAATCAGTAATAGTGTTCACAGCTCACTGTCAAAATTTGAGCCTTCAAATCCATGTTTGTCTAGAATTATCTACGTTTGAAAGTTAAAATGACGACTCGTCAATTTAAGATACACTGTCATATATAGAAAAGACATCTATAGAAATAGTCAGTAAAATTCCTAGTTTGAGATATTTTTAAAGGAATTATGTGATTTTGGTACATTTCTAGTATTTCTGAAGACTATTTACATATATTCAAGACTCAAATCAACCAAGCCAAGGACCATGATTGTATAGTGTATTGTTGTATTTTTAAAGGAATTATATGATTTTGGTACATTTCTAGTATTTCTGAAGACTATTTACATATATTCAACACTGAAATCAACCAAGCCAAGGACCATGTATAGTGTATTGTTGTATTTTTAAAGGAATTATGTGATTTTCGTACATTTCTAGTATTTCTGAAGACTATTTACAGATATACAAGACTCAACTCAACACCCAAAATGGTGAACCTGTCCCCTAATTTAATATTATTAATATTTGTAGCATAACCTGCCTGCTCTGGGTCCAAATATAGGCCTACCCCTGACTGTATTTATGCCAAAATCAACCTCCAAAAGTGCTGATTGTTATGATATTTTAACTTTTTTAGCGTATCCTGCCTGTTCGGGGTCTGAATACCGCTGTGCCAATGAGAGATGTATCTCCCAGCAGTGGTTGTGTGACGGAAATGATGAGTGTGGAGATAATTCAGACGAACTAGACTGCGGTAGGTTATTTATTATTTTATATACACTATTTAAAATCCAGCACAGCTAGTCTGGGACATCTTCTTATACCTTGACTACAATAGTCACCTTTCTTGTATCACATCTTTACAATGTCAAGCTATTACCAACTTCATCTTATACCTTGACTACAATAGTCACCTTTCTTGTATCACATCTTTACAATGTCAAGCTATTACAAACTTTGTCTTATACCTTGACTACAATAGCTACCTTTCTTGTATCTTCAAAATGTCAATCTATTGTCTTATACCTTTGTCTTATACCTTGACTACAATAGTCACCTTTCTTGTATCTTCACAATGTCAATCTATTGTCTTATACCTTTGTCTTATACCTTGACTACAATAGTCACCTTTCTTGTATCACATCTTCACAATGTCAAGCTATTACAAACTTCATCTTCACAATGTCAAGCTATTACAAACTTCATCTTCACAATGTCAGGCTATTACAAACTACATCTTCACAATGTCAAGCTATTACAAACTTCATCTTCACAATGTCAAGCTATACAA